TGGCATGCCACGCGTGTGATTGGCATGACAAAACTAAAAAACAATAGATATTCCATTTATATAAATACAAAAACTAACGTAGTATTATGATCAATAGAAATTGATTTCTGTAGGGTCTCAACCACGCCTGTGAATATGCTTTGTCTTATCTGCAAAATAACAATAAATAAACTAATATTACTGTTGAATTCCACATAATTTAAATGTGCCTGACTATACCAAAATTAGAGATTTCTAATTACATTTTCTGATTACCTTCTTTCTATACTACCAATGAATACTGTTTATTTACCGTACTCACATGCATACTGATTTTTTTAGACTGTGGCGCAGTGAAACTGATGTGTTTGTAAAATTTTACTATTTTTGTGTTTTATAAACATTGTAGACGGAAATAATTTACTAATAAAGCAGAAGGAATAAATATATTAAAATTAACTTATAAGTATTCTGTTGAAGCTCTGTGAAAACGAATTTTACGTATTTGCGCGGGGGAATTTCACGGAGCAAAATGACGTGCGTCCGACCTCAAACAAGGCTCAGCGAGCTCTGACAGGCGAACTTCGCCGCCGTAAGCAAGCGCAAAAACATATTTTTTGGTTCCTTTTTTTATAAGTACAAGTATGTGAAAATGTATCCTTACAAATCCCTAAAAAAAAATAAGCTCTATTTTTTGGTATAATTTTTACGTGAATCCATGGTGGCATTTTACAACAATTTCTATTTGAAATCGTGAGTTAGTGCTATGTTTGTGATTTTTTTTTATCGAGCCAAATCCCATAAATCATGTTTCCATCTTTACGGATCTCTAGATTATATGTTTAATTTTAAAAAAATATTTAGTTTCATGCACAATAAATGCATATTAGGGTATTTATTTCTCTTCAAAAAAGTGCAAAATCGCTGCAACCTCGCCTTAATACTTATTTCTTAATTGAATAATATTTATTTATTGTCTTTATTGTGTATTAATTGTATTGTTCGTGTTGTGACAGATTGAGAATACAGAGTGTCACCACCCCTAATCATCAGGTGGGTGTCGCGGGAGCAAACCACACATTACAACAGCACTGTAAAAAGAAGGAAAACAAGAAACAAACCCTTTGCCGACCCGTCTGGTCAGTGGTATAGTAGGCCAAAACCTACCTAAGAAGAGGCCATGTCCTGCATTGGACTAGTAAAGGCTGTTGATGATTTATTTATTTAGTAATATTTAATCAAATTTATGAAAACTAAACAAAATTGTTTATAGCAAACAATGTTTTGAAATAATTTCTATAATCACCGCAATTTAAATAGGTAATGATAAGACAAATTCGGTACCCTTTTTTCCCTTGTCTACCAATCCTTATTTTAACAACAGAAAAATAGCCTTTAAAAGAAAACAAAGTTGAAAAATATAAAAGTTCTACCAGCAATCTACCTCCTGATGATGTACAGACTATACTCATTAAGCCATTAAGTCCAAGTTTGCTCCCTTAGTCGGCTCTTACGACACCCACGGGATCTCAATAAAAGCTAACTTACAACTACAAAAATAAACCATAATAACTTTTTCTTTCTTTTGGTATTTATCCGTCAATAACTTATATTCAAAATAGAACTAAGTCTCAATAACACTCCGGTCACGATTCACCCGTATTCAAGCCAATTGTGTATATATGTATAACAGTTTATCCGCCTTACCCTGGTATTTACAGAGGATTGTCGACAATCCCGGATAAAAATGTTTACTTTATGATGTGTTGGCTTATTGACACAGTGAGCCAAAGGGCCACTATCGAAACTCGATAGTTGTCCTACATTTTATATTTTTCTCTAATAACTATAGGGACTTATAAGATTGGATATCGTATTGGGTTGTTTAAATATTTATAATTTTGGTTGGTTATAAGATATTTCAAAGCAAATGTTTGTTAATTATGTTTTAATATTCATTTATTATCCTTCCCTTGACTTTGAATATCTTTACTTAGTATAAAATAAAGTCGCTTTTTTGTTGTACGCTTAGATATATTGAACTAAGAAACGGATTTTAATGCGGTTTTCACAGATAGAGAGTGATTCAAGGGGAAGGTTTATATGTTTAATACATGTAGGTATAACTATAGTAAAGAAAATCCGAGAATTTCAAAGCTTTGTCTTAAAATCTTGGTTTTGCGCGCTTACATTGCAAACGCTTGCTAACCCTTACCAAAATAATGTACTACGGAATTGTATATCTTAAAAAGATGTAAAATAAAAGTCTGAGATGGTATATGTCTATCTCCTAAGGATAAGCCAACCATTTGTTTTTTATGGAATAGGGGGCAAACGAGCAGACGGGTCACCTGTAGGAAAGCGACTACCTCCGCCCATAAAATGAAATTATATTTATTTCTGCAATTAAATTTTTCAAAGATTTTTACAAGTCGGAGATCAAGTTCATGAATTAGAAGGTCATGAACGTCTGCAACTCAAGAGTCACAAGAGGCCAGCCTTTGAGGGAGGAGAACGCTCTTTATTAGAAGGTCGTAGCGGTCCGGAAATACCATTTTTATCTTTTAAATATTATTAAAAAATAATGTGTTATTAACGAAGCTATTTTATCACACTACTAGTATTAAGAATACAAAGTGTCACCACCCCTATTCATCGAGTGGGTGTCGTAAGAGCCGACTAAGGGCACAAACTACGCAGGACAACAGCACTGCAAAAAGAAGAAAAACTTGAAACAAACCCTATGCCAACCCGTCTGGTCAGCGTGGTATAATAGGCCAAAACCTCCTTTCTAGGGTGAGTCTTATGTCCAGCAGCGGACTATTAAAGGCTGTTGATGTGTGGTGTGACTCGTATTTTTCCTTTTCCAATTAAATACGATAGATACATTGTGCATTTATTGTTGATTAAAATTGCTCTTTACAGCATATCTGTGATGCGGCTTCGCTCAACAATCGCTACCTCTTTGAAACTTAGGCTAATGTAAATAACCTGAAGACCAATTCTCGTAATAAAAATTAGGACTCAATTCAGTTCTGATCAACTTTTGATCTCACAACTGCCATAAAAGGTATTTTCGTAGTAAAGTATTAAACATCAAACGTTGACTGTAATGTGATTATATCGTATCTTAGTAATACTTTACTATTTACATTATACTGGCTCATCAATGGTGATATCAGCAACATTGAAATATCTGGAATATTATTTCGAGTATATATTTCATTTGCCAGATATGGAAATGATGTTGTTATGACCAATGAGCTATTATCACTACATCGACAGTCTATTGACACTGTGAATTTATGTTAGTAGAATACCGATATTTTGACCAATACAATAGCCTGTCAATGGAGTGACAGCTATTTTATGTTAAGTGTGTGTTAACATAAAATAGCAGAATTGAGGCCCAGTCCGTAACCGTGTGACTGTCTCTGCCTCAGCTCTTAAATTCATGGACCGATTTTGATTTAGTTTTTTTAGAAAGCCAACTCGATTGTATATTCTTGGATATAATTTTCTTAAACCTATCCAAAATATAAAATTGAAGTGTCTGTTTGTAATGTCGATATAATAGGTTTTTTTATGCTCTCGCGGTTATTCGCACATTACCTATGCCTAAAAACCAGTTTAAATGTTGTTTTTTAGTCTGTTTGTATGTGCTGGGTAATCTTTAAAACGGCTGGACCGATTTTGATAATATTTTACTACCAGGTTGCTGTCTATATAAGGGGTAACTATTCCTCTCAAAAAAATACTGTTAAATGTTACCTGGTCCGGGAAACAAATCCAATCCAAAAATCTGAGCTTTTTTCAAATCATTGAAGTGATTTTAGAGTCTGGAATCAGAGGAATTTTGTATTTGAGATTTGTACTTGTACACTTTTTTCCATAGTGACGCAAAAGTAACGCCGACTACTTCGAAGCAATCATACGCCTCTTCGTTTTTAAGCCTGTTTTTTGATGAATTTGAGTTTAACTAGAATTTGACATTACTTTTTACGGTCCATCCGTTACTCTGTTACCGTCCGTGTAACGTATAACCAATATAACACAATACGGTTAGGTAATACCTCGTCTTAATAAATATTAGGACTGTTCGATTTATTTAGAGTTTAGTTTAAAATAGGCAAACGCCTATTGCCTAATGAAAATAAATATAACGGCGATAGACACAATAGAAATTTTCTGTTTTATAATAATAATATTCTATCACATTTATACAACGCCATCTAGAACGAAACTAATCGAAGCTTGTACTATGGCTACTAGACAACTGATATAAATACATATATACTTTTTTTTTGTAAATACATACATAATATATATATAAACACCCAGATTAAATCAAACATTAAATGTTCATGCACACAAATGTTTGATTTGAGCGGGAATCCAACCCGCGACCTTTTGAATAGCAGTCCGTTACACAAACCACTACGCCATCCGGTCGTCGTTATAAAAAACATATTATGTTAAAAAACCGTAGATAGGACAACTCATAAGAAAAATGTTACAAATATATTTACATATTATTCACACATAAAACCGCATGGAACTCCGGATATGTTCCTAATCTATAAATATACAATAGAATAGAATAGAATACCAGTTTATTGATTTCAGCATTACAGCACTTTTGTAGAAATATACAGAAAGACTATAATACCGAAAGCAAAAGGTCTGAGCGTCAGCTTATGCTTGGACTTCACATGGATTACCAAGCGCTGGTATTCAGCTTAAACCCTTGACTCCCGTTTACAAAAAATATATATGTAACTTATTGATAAAACATGAAAAGTATGTCTTCGTGATCATACATTACCAGAGGGGTTAAAAAATATGTCTATTGTTTAAAACACAATGAGTATGGTCAGTGGGGGAAAGGCATACAGTACAAAGCTACGAAATATAAATATTTGGTTCCTTGTCCTCATACGCAGAAACGTCCACTGTATTTTTGTGTTAATAATCTGTTTGTTTGTCATCTTCAGTATATTCTAAGTCGTCTATCGTTATGTTCATACATTGGTTGCATTCCATCGAATTGCGTCAGTTTGGATAGCTATATGATATGAAAATTTAATCAACTGTGCCAATTTTTTTTTACACCATGCTATCGCACTGCCATACATCCTGCCAAATACTGTAACTGCCTCTCCAACTGTTCTAAAAATAAATGTCGTTTTTCTCCACAAACTATCCGACCAATGTTCACCAGGATCTGTCTCTAATTGTACTCTTGGATAATTTTTTTCTTTGATCATGTATATGTCATCATAGTCATCGGTTACATTTTGTTTGACCAAACTCTTGGTGTTCTTCAGATAATCATCACTTATATCACATTGTCCACGCGACGCTAATGTCATTGACACTATAATCACTAGATATTGTCTCATATTTATATGAGATAGGCCTCTCCTTATAAAGGAGGTTTTGGCCTATCATACCACGCTGGCCAGACGGGTTGGTATAGGGTTTGTGTCAGGTTTTCCTTCAGTGCAGTGCTGCTGTCCCGCGCAGTTCGCTCCCGAGATGAATAGGGGTGGTGACACTCTGTATTCTATAATTCGTAACCACACGGACCACACGGACGGATGAAATAGTTATAAACACATATTTCGTAATTGTTGCTTAAATGCTTTTTATAGAGCACAAAAGCTTTCCAGCAATTGTCACCATGGGGTATAATGAGTATCTTGACTCTTAAGCATCTTTATTTGTTTATTTATACTAACTTATATCGTGAAACAGATTTATGTCTGTGTAAAAGAAATATAATTTTTAATACGTCCATGCACTTGACTAGGAACTGTTGTAATGGTTTAACAATATTCAATATTGTATTACATTGTCACTGGCATTGTAATATATACAATTAAAATATAATATGTATAATATTCTTAATATAATATTATTATATTTTGAATTGCAATGCCAGTAACAAGTGTATTAGAATCGCGGTCGTAGAAAGTATCAATGACATTTTTGTTCCAAATTCGCGCTCCACTAGTATAAACACTCAAATATTGCTTTCCACAAATCACTCCTAACACTAGAAGTCGAGACGCAAATATAACAACACCATTTGAGAACAATTACTTGAATGTTTTGTAATGTTTCTGATTTTTTCAGAAATAAATAGCATGTCATAGAATTGATCTTAATGTTGGCTTATAGACACAGTGTGCCAAAGGGCCACCGTATCCGAACTTGTAACTTTTTCTTTTTCTCTGATAACTTTATGGACTAATAAGATTGAATATAGTATTGAGATTTACATTTATAATATTCGTTGGTTATAAGATATTTTAATACAAAATTAAATGTTGTTTTAACTGACTTCAAAAAGGAGGAGGTTATCAACTCGGATGTTTATGTGTATTTTTTTATGTATGTTCGGGTATAACTCCATTATATATAGACGGATTTCCAAAATGCTTTTTTGTTCGTAAGGGGTTAATCCCGAAATGGTCCATATTAAATTTCATATAGATCTGATGATAAGTTTCGGAGACAGACAAAGGAACTGTTCAAAAAATGACACCAAATCAATTGCGATTGCTGCTAGGGTTTTAGTGCCCTTTGTTAGTATTGTTTGAAGACGGTTTAACTTTTTTTTTTTAAGTAAGCCCAAACATTTTCGATCGACTCGATCTGTTAGCGTTACCCTTAGCGTTATCTTCAGGAGACAATACAAATAGTCTATAATTGTAATAATCCGATTCGCCGTTGGGTCTTTGTTGAGAACAGTGGTCATACGAAATAAATTCTTAGATTTTTATTCCAGTGTTAAGAATTATCGCATTAGTTGCAACGCCTATTAGTGCTGAATTGGTTTGCATTATTCCAAGTGAGTGGTTACTGTGTGACAAGAAGAACAATAACACGCAAGTACTGTCATCTCGGTCTGGCATAACACATCGAGGAGATAGCCGCGGGGGATATTGTACCTCACCTCCGCTTGACAAAAACAATACCATAGTTTTCGTCTCGTTCACGCACGTTTGTGCTGCATCATAGTAGAAATGTCGACGCAAAGGACACCGCCAAACAAATTCTCTTCAGACACTGACATACCACTCTCAGTTGATAGGGACTCCTATGTGGGTACTCGCAAAAGGAAACAACCCGATCAGGATGATACATTACTCATGGTAAGACTTGAAGAAAAATTTAACTCGCAGCTGTCAGTGTGGGATAAGAAAATCACCGATTGTATTACAAACTGCGTTGCATCTGCTGTTAGTGTAGCCATCTCAAACGAGTTAACTAAAATCTCAGATGTGCTGTCAGAGATAAACTTAAATGTTACGAAACTTAACTCTGATTACATATCTCTTAATACATCCCTAGAAAAAACCAACAACCGTCTTACTGATATTGAAAAATCATTAGCTTACGCTTCAGAGAGGCAAGATTGCGTTGACACGCGCCTTAAAACTCTAGAAAGCATTGCGGAGACGCACACTAATGACTTAAATAAAATAAGTTTACTCGAAAACAAGATTATGTCAATGGAGCAACAGGCACGCCAGTGCAATTTAGAAATATGTAACGTACCGGAACGTCGTGGTGAAAACCTTATTACTATTATGGAATGTCTAGGCAGTGCTTTGAAACAACAAATACGAACGACCGATATCGTGTCTGTTCACCGTGTACCCCATGCCGATCAAAATAATCCGCGCCCAAGGAACGTAATATTGAAAGTGTCGACGAGAGTATTACGTGATAACATCATCGCGGCATACCGTGCCACAAAAAGTCTTGACAGCACGAAGTTAGGCGTCAGCGGGTCTCAAAGCACTACCATATACGTCAACGAGCATTTAACACTCAATAATAAGATATTGTTTCGCCAATGTCGTGAGTCTGCTAAAAAATATGACTATAAATACGTGTGGGTCAAACACGGGATCATATTGGCAAGGAAACATGATGCGTCTCCTGTCATCGCTATTCGATCTCAGCAGGACATTCCAAAAATTAAGTGATACAATATACGAGTACAATCTGTCATATACTTATAATAGTTGCAACATAATTGTTTTGTTTCAAATCCTATATAATTTTTCAATAACTGTCACTGGAGGGTATTTTCACGCACTTTATGTTGTGTACTTTGTGGTAAAGAGTCTAGCTATACTTATCATTATAATACGTTATCTTTTTGCGAAATATTACAAAAAACTGTTGAATTGTATTTATGTATTGTATGAGTGTCTGTATGTATGCAGTGCGCAAATTGTTAATAGCTGTGGACGGTGTGTTATCGTGATATTGTTGATTTCTGGATGGGCACAAGCATTAAAGCAATACGTATTTATTATAGTGTACAGTAATAATGGATAGTCTGTCTATATATTATCAAAATTGTCGAGGTTTACGTACAAAACTGCATGTATTATTTATGAATATTTTGTCACATAATTATAGTATAATCGTGTTGACTGAGACGTGGCTACATAGGGATATATGCGACAATGAATTCATAGATCCTCGTTATCGAGTGTTCCGATGCGACAGGGACCGCACGAGCAGCGGTCGGAACGATGGCGGTGGCGTCTTGGTGGCGGTGCGCACCGAACTGAACGCGACGTGGGTTGCAGTGCCGCCCGGGGCGCCCTGCCCCATGTCGCCACTCATTGACCATGTCCTTATTGAGTTGCGTTCCCGTAGATACTGTTGTATTATTAGTGCGGTTTATATACCACCTGCTACGCATTCGGACGCATATACGACACATTTAGATTACTTAATGTTCATATTGCATTTCACTAATATAACAAATTATGTTCTGATAGGGGATTACAATTTACCTGAAATATTATGGGAGGACTGCAATGCACATACCGTACCCCGTCTTGTAAGCAATTGCACTGCATCTTCTAAGGTCTTTATTAATTTCATGCTTATATTATTTGTTTTCAGTATTAATTGTTTTCAGTATAATAAATTTAGAAATATAAATGGACGACTTTTAGATTTATGTCTAACTGACATCGCCGATTGTAGATTAATACAACCGACGGTATCTCTCGTTCCCCTAGACTCTAATCATCCACCTTTTTACATGATCTTTCCAATAAGTAGTAACTCCTTAAATTTAATAAATCGCCCCAAAACGCAATTACAATTTAATAAAGCCGATTACACTCTAATAAATCAAGACATTGCCAACATTTCCTGGAGTGAACTATTGGTAAATAGAGATGCGGAGTCAATGGTGACTATTTTTTACGAACATATCTACGAAATTATCAAACGATATGTACCCAAGAGAGTAATTAAATCGTCTCAATTTCCAGTCTGGTTTTCACCCGCTCTTATCCATATTTACAAAAATAAAAATAATTACTGGATTAAATGGAAAAAATATGGAAATAAATCGGACTATGAAATTTTTTCTTTATTAAGGAAAAGATTTAAACGTGTATCGCATGACTGTTACAGAGGGTATATAGCAACGGTAGAAAATAGTATACAGAAGAATATAAGATGTTTTTGGTCCTTCGTCAAAAATAGGAGAATTAAAATGGATATGCCTTGTAAAATGACGTATAAAAATGTCACAGTTTATAACCCAGACGAGGCGTGTTCTCTGTTCTCGTCATTTTTCGAATCAGTTTTTGAACCCTCATGTGTTACCGACAATCTTGATGTTGACGATATGCCAAGTTGTAACCCTGCATCCGATATCTTCTTTAATGATATCCAGCTGTCTAGTGATGCAGTACTCCGGGAGTTAAACAATTTAGACATTACAAAGGGGCCCGGAGTGGATAACATACCACCAATTTTTTGGAAAGCTACTGCTCAAACTATTCATGTGCCCGTATGTTTTATATTTAATTCGTGTCTCAATGAGGGTGTTTTTCCGTCTATATTCAAAGCAGCCCGTATTGTACCAGTTTTCAAAGGTTGAGATAAGTCCAACATAGAGGACTATCGGCCCATATCTATCTTGACCACACTGTCGAAGTCTTTTGAAAGGCTAGTGTATAATAACGTTTATCCATCTATCCATAATATAATTATTGAGGAACAACACGGTTTTGTAAAAAGACGCACCTGTAATACAAATTTAATAATTTATACATCATATTTATTTGAAAGTATGGATGAAAATAAACAGACAGACAGCATTTACACTGATTTTCGAAAGGCATTTGACAGGGTGGATCATAAATTACTATTAGAGAAGCTGGCCTTTAATGGTATACGCGGCAACTTGTGGCGTTGGTTCAAATCTTACATCACCAATCGCACACAAAAAGTAGTCTTGAAAGGTCATGAATCTGATTATACTGCTGTTAGCTCTGGCGTTCCTCAAGGCTCAATTTTGGGTCCGCTTCTGTTTATTCTT